AAGTTACATACTTCTCAAAGGAAAAAATAGAAATGGCAAATAAATGCATTTAAAAAAATGTTCCACAGCACTGGTTATTTGGAGTAGGTTTTTTTTTCCCTTTGGCAGAACTGGGGATTGAATTCAGACCCTTACACTTGCCAGGCAACTGCTTATTCTACTGAGCCATCTCCCTAGCACCCTAACACTGGTTATTTGGGAAATGCAAATTAAAACAACACTGAGATTCTATTTCATTCCAGAAAGAATGGCTATCATAAAGAAATCAACTAATGAGAAATGCTGGAGAGGCTGAGGGAAAAAAAGGAACCTCTCTCCACTGTTGGTAGGAGTATAGATTGGTACAACCATTATGGAAATCAGTATGGAGACTCCTCTAGAAACTACGATTGGAGGTCCCATTCAACACAGCCATTCCTCGTCTGGGTATTTTTCCAAAAGAACTGAAAACATCATACCACAGTGATATATGTGCACCAACGTTTACAGTGGCACAATTTGACATAGCTATATCTTCGAAACAACCCAATGCCCATCAACTGAGGAACAGATAAAAGATGTGCTATTTTTATACAATGGCATATTACTCAGCTATAAAGATAAACTTGAGGCTTTTATACATATATGGATGCAACTAGAAACTATACTTATAAGTAAAATAAACCAGATCCACATGTGTAAACATTGCATTGTCTCCCTAGCGCAAAAACCTGAAAGAATAAATAAAATCTGGAAAGTGCAATAGATATAGCAGAAGAGAAAGAAACTGAACATAAGAAATAAATAATTTAGATGAGGCAAAGGAACAATAATAGGGAAAAAAGGAAGGGGGAAAATCATGTAAGTATAAACACAAGATAACTAAGATGATTGTACTACTAATTTCTGTCAGTTTTTTGAAAGTAGCCATTAACGTTTTAAAATTCTTCTTTGACCAATTTTATATGCTAATATCTGTAATCTCAGCAACTACATTAAGGACAGCAATGTGCAATATAGCAACCATAGCTAATGCCTTTCATCCTGTTTTTTAAATATGTATCATCTCTAATAGCTTATCTGTTATCTCTATGCTCTCTTTAAAATAAATTTAAAAATAAAAAGTAAGGGGCCGGGGAGATGGCTCAGCGGAATATGTACTTCCCTGGCAAGTGCAAGATTTTGAGTTCAATCCCCGGTTCCGCCAAAAAAATAAAAATAAAAAGTAAAAAGGACAAGGAAAAATATTAAATGTTTGATTGTTTTGTCAATCTTGCATGCCTATACCTGACAGCTTGAGCAACAAATTTCATAATAATAATACATAACATAATAGCCATTGTTAATTTTCTGTTCTTGTTTTAAAATTCTGTACTTTTTTTTTTGTTCTATGTTGCTTTATTTTTGTCTTTGTTCTTGTTATTTGTTTTTGAGTTTTTTTTCCTCTTTAAAAAAAAAAGTTTAACTTCTGCCACAGCAACCATTGAAAAAGAGTCGCCATGGCCCTCCGCTATCCCATGGCCGTGGGCCTCAACAAGGGCCACAAGGTGACTAAGAATGTGAACAAACTGAGGCACAGCTGCCACTGCGGACGTCTCACCAAACACACCAAGTTCGTGTGGGACATGATCCGGGAGGTGTGTGGCTTCACCCCCTAAGAGCGGCGCGCCATGGAGCTGCTCAAGGTCTCCAAGGACAAGCGCGCCCTCAAGTTCATCTAGAAAAGGGTGGGGACGCACATCTGCGCCAAGAGGAAGCGTGAGGAGCTGAGCAACATGCTGGCCGCCATGAGGAAGGCAGCTGCCAAGAAGGACTGAGCCCCTCCGGAATAAAGCTTTGCAGAAAAAAAAAAAAAAAAAAGTTTAATCAAAATAGTATGGCACTGGCATAAGGCTAGACATAGAGACCAATTAAATGGAACCAGAGTCCAGAAATAAGCCCAAATATCTATAGCTAACCTGTTTTCAAGAAGGATATCAAGACCATTCAGGGCAGGAAAGAACACTGCCCTGATAAACGCTGCTGCGAAACTGGACAGCCACATACAAAAGCTGGCTTCTTCCCTCACTCCACATGCAAAACCTAACTCAGTCTACACATAAGAGCTGAAGCCAGCTGGAGATGGTGATGCATCCCTGTAACCCCAACAGTGCAGAGAGCTGAGGCAAGAGGATCACAAGCTTCAGGCCAGCCTGGGCAAAACAGCAAGACCCTGCCGCCACGCAGAATTTTTAAAAGGGCTGGAGATATCACTAAGTAGCACACACTTGCCTAGCATGCATAAGGTCCTAGGTTCACGCCACAGTTACACACACACACACACACACAATGTGAAGAAATTGGAACCCTCAAACATTATTCATGGCAATTTAAAATGATACTGCCACTGTAGAAAAGTTTGGTATTTCTTCTAGAAATTAAAACACAGGGGGCCCAGCCCTAGCTCAGTTCTTTAAGTGGCTGCTTCCACAATGCTGGCAGCCTCAGTTTGCTGTAGTTCGA